TCTGAAGCTCAAGAAAACGTGCGCAGATAATCTTTTCCCCCTTACGTCACATACAGTTTTTACTGTTTTTTTGACTGAATAAATCTAAAAGTAAACAATTTACACCTATTTGCCGTAAGTCAGAAAACGTTAATACAATGTAATCGGCGAAAACCGAAACACTGCAAAACGATCTGAACAGTACACTAGACTACAAAGAGAGAAAGGATCGTCTGTAAAACGAATGAGGGTTGGCATCAAATGCTGATTTCGCATAAAGAATTGCGTATCGTGAAAACGAAAGGCGATGGCGCCAATCGGATTGCGGAATTTTGCAACTTGATGAAAGGTAATTGTGATGAGAGAATAAAAAAGAATTGCAAAACGTGTAAATTTATAAACAATTTCCAATTTTTGCAATTCTGAAGTGGGAAATTCTGATGTCACAAAAATTAAATTGCAAATTAACAATTTTTCAACAATTAACAATTTTATAAATAATTGCGAAACGTGGGTTATTTCTGCCGGGGATTGTTCCCAATTTGTCCCTGAGTTCACCATAGCAAAGTAACAATTTTGACAAGAGATGCAAATTGATTGCATAATATCTTGTTTAATTGTTACTACAATGATAAATATATACTTGTCTTTGAATTTTATTGAAACGGTTCCCTAGGAGTCCTCTATCGATACGAGAAATACACTATTATGCAATTTTTGCATATTTTTTAAACAAACAATTGCAAATCTGCAAATATGATAGTTTTTTTTGACGAAATCTAGAGTAAACTGGACATTTGATGAAGTTCATAAATTATGTATGATCAATTTTTGTTGCGAAAACTGTACATGAGTTTTTCCAAAATATAACTCAACATCTCATGAGAGCATATACGACACGATCTATATATATTAGCCAAATACTGATCTTTTAATTGATAATACAGTTAACTTTACCATTCTTTAATCTTCTTTCTGAACAAGAAAACAAGAAATTTTGAATACACAGATAAGACCCGTTTTAAGAACATTGAAAACATACGTATAGTTCTGGAAAGAAAAATTAAGTTCAGCCTTTCTACGGCTTGGGCAGGTCTTGTCATGAAACGATGCAGGCGGAGCCTCACAAACAACCGTAGAAAATCTAAAAGGAGGGGAGAAGTGGCCTAGCAAAATACGTCGTAGAAAATTGCGGATGTAGCTAGTTCAGATTTGTAAGTATTTACACATAAAATACATAGAATGAAACACTTTTATGAACATGAAAGTAAATACATTGAAATATTTAACAATATATACGTTTAACCAGTGTTAACATAATTATTTTTGAAAAAATTACGTTGACACGAGATAAAATAACACTAATTGTAGAGCATTTAATTCTCACACACATTTACTTGCAATATTATTGTTAATAAATAATCCTGGATCTTTACCAAATATCCATTTTACTATAGATTTATTGATAAAAAACTATTTTAATTGCAAGTTTGTAATTGTTCACAAGTTTATAAATTTTGCAAAAATTGCAAAATTTTATTTGCAGTATTTTAAGAACAAATAAAATAGGCAATAATTTTGCATCTCTTGTAAAAATTGTTATTTTGCAATATTCACCTAAAAAAATACAATTTGGGGACATTGCCCGGCATGAAATAAGTGAATTTCGGAATTGTTTATAAATTTTGTTAATTTTTGCAAACTTGTTAATTCGCAGTTTTCAGTTCTGGAAGATTATGGACCCCTTCCCACTTTAGAATTTAAAAAATTGGAAATTGTTTATTAAAATTTAAAAAATCCCTTTTCTTAATTGCTTTTAAATGAGGGGCAAAATTCCGCAATCCGATCGGCGCTATAGTCTTTCTTTTTCGAGACACGAAGTTGTTTATAAGAAATTAGCATTTCAGACAACTCTTATTTTTTTTGGCAGTTCCCACGAAAGCCGTTTTACAAACGGCTCGTTTCCTTTCTCCGTCACACACGTTTGAAGTTCCTAGCGGGGTTGGAGCAGACATGCGATCACAACGCTAGCATATATTGCCATGGGTATTGTTACTAGTTAGATATTCCTCGTTTTCAGCGCTCTAATTTTTCAATTTATTCTAAATACTTTAAAAGAGAGAGATATATATTGGGGAGAGAACAATTGTACTTGTTAAGCAATCGGAATAAT